TTTGTAAACAAATAAAAAACATTTATTTTAAAAAACCTCTATTAATGTGTTAGATTCATTTTTTCACAATTGTAAATCCTACAGGAGAATAAGTATGAATGTTAGCTGAACAACAAACAGAAATATTAGTGTTGATTTATTTTTATCTTGTTTATTCTTCCAGTGAAGGTTGTTGGTCATGATCCGATACATGCAAAGGTTGGAGACGACGTCATTCTGCCATGTCAACTGGAGCCTCCATATGATGTGAAAAATCTTACGATTGAATGGAAATTCAAGGGTCAAATAATCCATGTGCAACGCAGCCGAGCTAAAGATGATGAAACTTCAGACCCAGAGTACCATGACCGAACCTTCATGTTCCCTGATGAGTTTGAAAAAGGCAACATTTCCCTCAAATTGACCAAAGTAACCCAGGAGGATGGAGGGAATTATACTTGCTTTGTTCCCAAACTGCAAAGTCAAGTCAAGAAGGGAAACGTTACTCTAAAACTTGGTGAGTTTTATAAAATTAAGATCATTTAAGACAAACTAGATAAATATATTAATGTCTATAACTCTTGATGTAATTATTCAACAGATAAAAATGGATCCCCAGACAGCTTTATTCTTCCTGGAGGTAAATATGTTTAACTAGGTAACCAGTGGTTACTGACCCTCTGACTCAGTTTCAGATTTTCTTTGTTACCTGCAGCCATTGAGGCTCATTGGGTTGAATATTCATCTTCAGGCTTTTCCTGTTAAAACATGTTGATGTTCAGCTGGCAGATAAAACCTGAAGACCTGTGTGTGTGTGTGTGTGTGTGTGTGTGTGTGTGTGTGTGTGTGTGTGTGTGTGTGTGTGTGTGTGTGTGTGTGTGTGTGTGTGTGTGTGTGTGTGTGTGTGTGTGTGATGCAGTAAATGGTGACACCTGAATGATGAGGTGATTGTTGGTTCTTTGATCTCATTAAAAAAACAAAAATATGCAAAATTGAATTCAAAATATTCAAAAAACAGAATCTTCTAAAAACCTTTTTTTCTTTTTTGTCACAGGACCTGATCCACAAACAACAGCACCAACAACTGTTGGTGCTGTTGTTGGTGCTGGTGTTGGTCTAGCAGCACTCATCTTCATCATCATCATCATCATCATCATCATCATCATCACATACTGTGTTCTACGTCGTCAGAGAGGTGAACCAAGTAAGTCAGTCATTGTCTTTTTAAGTCATGCAGGATTTTGTTAAATTAATGATTATCTCCATAGATGCATATTTCCAATTGATAGAAAATATAATTTTTAATAGTTTGAAAAAACTGATCTGAAGCTGAAGAAAAGTAAAACTCTTGATAAACATGAATATGTAAAGTAATGAAGCTTTCATATATTTATGAATATCTATTGATGTTTAATGGGGAAAAAAAAGAAAATAAGAAACTAAACCATTATGAGATTCATTTTTTCTCTTTTGGTCTTTGTTATTTATTGTAGCCTTTCTGCCTGATCAGGTTGATGAAACATTTTTACCAGTTAAAACTGATAAGGAGAATTAAATATTGTCGCCTCATTTATATTGTGTGTTAAGACAAATATTCACTGTTTACAGTTTTTCCATGCTGGAGCAAAAACTCTCAACATGAACCAGTGAGAAATGATGGAGATATGGAAATGGAACCATTCCAGATTAATAACTTATGTTAATTATTTCATGTTTTATTTTCCTGCTCAGTGATAAACTAAGCAGTTACTTCATATAGATGTATGAATGTGTTTGTGTTGCTGCAGTCACTGAACATCACAGCTGAGCATCAAACCAGGAAGCTGAACTTCCTTGTTAGTGACTGAATGTGACAGACTAGATATTAGATCATTGATGTAGCAGCAATGAACTGGTGACCTGACTGGGTTCATCATGGCTCACCAGTATTCCCACTGACCTGAACAGGATATGAAGGTTTAGACCAGAGGGTCCAACCTGTGGATCCAGACGCACTAAAGAGAAACAGCCAGAAAACAACAACATTCATTCATAAAATGCTACAAATTAAACTATTATTTACTGCACATAACTTAGATTTTCTCTTCTTTGTTATACTTTCTTCAACAGAGAAGCTTATAGCTAATGAAATCATGTTTAAGATTATAATTAGAGCTTAATGAGAGACATTTCTTCTGCCTTCATTAAAGTTATATTCTCTTAATCTGACATCTGAATATACATTAAATATTCAGTTTAATATGAACATGTTTACATTTTATTGTAATATGCTTTGGTTTCTGGATTGTTTTATTTTTGCCAACAAAAATCTGGAAACAAATAATTTCAGAAAATGTCAAAACTTTAATGCTTTAATTTATTTTTTGCTGATTGATGATAATTTTATTTAGAAAAACTAAAATGACAGTTTGAGAAAAACACAATTCTGTTTTTCTTCAAGTCATCTTAATAATAATGTAACTTTGGGATGTCAAACAATCAGATGATGTTATTAATAAAATGTTTTGTGTTTCATAGATTGCAGAGAAAATGTCGACCCAGGAAATGAAGCTGAAGTAGAAATACCTTTACAGGATCAGAACAAAACCAAAGAGTCTGAATCTTCCACCTGATCTAAAGTCTCTTCAACCATTTGGTATGAAAACTGTTACAAGAATAGAAATAATATAAGAAACTGAATGCATTAAACCCAGAAGGAAGTTATTCATTAATAATCTTTATTTGAGATTTAATAAATGAAACAAGAATCCTGTAAGTTAAAGAACATCTCAAGTCCAAAGATGTTTCTGTAGTTTAGTTTCTTACTCAGGTTTTTATAAATTATTTGTCTTGAAAAGTTTTTTAATTCATGCAAAAGTTGACAGACTTGATCTCCAGCTTGTTCCTTCAAAAGGTTTTAATTTAATTTCTGTCAGTGAATCTTATTTTTTATTTGATTATTTTCTGTATTTTATTATAATTTTAGTTTCTTGCTGTCCAGTTTTTAATTCATGAATCAGCAGTGAATTCATTAGTTCATCTTTTCTTCCATCTCCAGTAGTTCTGTATATTTATTATTCCCTCCTTAAAACTGAAACATTCACATAGGAACAAATAACCTGAATATTTCTATGTACATCATCATACAGTGAATGTAAAAAATAACATTTTGATGCTATATTTCTTTATAAGCACATTATGTAAGATTGTTATTAAAATATCTTCTCAGGATCATTTATTAACATAAAATAGGAAAAGAAAATTAGAAATTGATCAATTACTTTAAAGATAGGATCATAAACACAACAGATATTATTCTAACTTTAAGTCAGTTTAGTGACTTTTCATTACAGACACTAAGCTTGAGGAAGGTAGAGAAGTTTTGTTGATGAATATGAATTATGATCTGGTAAGAATAAAGACTGTGTTCATAATTGTCCACATGGTGGCGCTGAGTCAGCATGGGGGAAATAAAGAAATGTCTCTTCCACCAACACTGAACCCAGTGGAGGCTTGGAGCTTCTTCAGCCTGGTGAATCAATGAATCACTTGTTCATTTGAGTCAGGAAAACGGAAGCAGGGAGAAAATGCAGGACAAGGAGTTTTAAAGTCCCAGGCTGAGAACCTGATTTATGATGAAGTGAATCAGAGTCACTGAACTTTATCTAACTCTGGGCCAAAGTTCTGTTCATATTGAGAAAAGTCCATTTGCACTGACATTTATATTATCAAACCAATGAGACTTTTTATAATTCATTGAACTGAGTCTTAATATGGCTGATTAATGTAGGAAAAAATGGCTGCTGCAAAGTTATACTGTGAATAAAACTGAGCTCTTTATTCTTTATACTAAATACTAAATATCTTATTTTAAGAGACATGTTTTCTTCATTTGTTGACTTTTGTTAATATATATCATATCTAACAGAATCTGATATTATTTACATTTTGTCTGGTGAACTTTTACTGTGTAACTCAAAGTAAAACTCTAGAGCGCCATCTAGTGGTGAAGTCAGAATATCCATCCATTTTCTAACACCTTGTCCCTCGTGGGGTCAGGAGGTCCTGGTCCATCTCCACCGGACATTTCAGAGGGACGGGTCACCTGGAAAGGTCACCTGGAAAGGTCACCTGGAAAGGTCACCTGGAAAGGTCAGCAGTCTGTTGCAGGAGTCAGAATATTATTCTGATCAATCATAATCTTTATTGGGGATAATATTGATCCCTCCTTGATGGATAATGTGAAACATGACTGTCCTCAGAATCAGATTTGTTCATCTTCTAGTTGGAAGTTGTTCATTTGTCCTAGACACTATTAAACTGTTGTCACATTAAATATGTAAAAAGAAATGGTCTCTGTGGTTCACAGGGACCAGCACCTCTGTGGACCAATGATGCTGTGAATCCACAAACACAGTGGATGCTGATCAAGATGATCAGTGAGATTTTTAGGTAGAATCTGAAAATATGAAGAATTAGTTTAAGTACTAATGAGTTTGTATGGAGGAACGAAACAGACTGTGAGTTGATTGAGCAAACTGACTGGCAGCCATTTTTACATCACTAGGAAACATGATCCTCTAAACCAAAGAAATTAGATAAATTAGTTTTTAGTGTTTTCCATTCTTTGTTTTTTGCATCAATAAATGGTTTTTGATGTTTAATTTGAACTGATGTTAATCTTTGACTCTTGTAAATAAAAACCCTTTAAAACATTGTTGTATTTTGTTTTATTCAAGCCAAGTTCAATATGTGGCCTGAGATGTTTTGACTGTACAAAAGCAAATTAGTTTAATATGGAGGAGGAAGCAGAGCGGCCATTTTGTTAAAGCCAACCAGTTTTGTCCTGTTATTAGCAGCCAGTCAAAGGAAAAACAAACCAAAACATGAAGCCATTGATGAGTTATATTAAAGTAAAAGTTATAGGTAGTTATGAATTATAACAACATTTAAGTTGGGATCAATAAATATTATGTTGAGTCAAATAAATTGAACAATACACCAAAATTAAGATACATTTTTTAATGTTAAAAAGCATTACATACATGTGGCACATATACATGTCTAGTAATGTCACTAGATACCAGTACGCAGTCCTTGTTACTAGACTTTTTAATATTGAATGTTAAAAGGTCTAATGAATGTTAAAAAGTCTAATAACATTTCTTACAAAGAGGTTATGTGTGTGCATATATACATATATAAATATGTTTTCCTGGAATAAATATTCTAAATAGCATTTAAAATAATCAGCTCCACTGAATTTCCTCAATTCCTCTGAATGTAAAATAAACATACAAAAATAAATAATGTTAAAAACAGTCTAAAAAATACCTTAATACAAACTAATCTTTAACATTAAATAAATAACAGTGAAATGTCTAAGCAGTTCACAGAAGCATCAGAAAGAGACACTGAGGTTCTGGTGTCATAATTCACCGGGATCTTGTTTGAGGCCAGCAGGTGAAAATGACAAATACTGGAACAAGAAAAAAGTGTTGGCTGTTTTTTTTTTTTCTTTCTTCTTCTTCTCTGAAATCTGGTCTCCACAGATGCAACTCATCCTGAGGTCTGGAGAAATTCAGCAGTCTGACATCCTTCTCATGAACAACTAGAAGAAGAAAGAGGAAATATTAAAACTTGAATCGCAGTCCATCCATTTTAACAAACGTTAAATATTAGGGTTGTCGCGATGCAGCTTTTTCACATCCAGTACAATCACAAAGTTTAGATGATTCCACATTATTTTATTATATTTTTCTGGTAATAAAAGGCTTCATCAAGTAATATTACTCAAACAGAGCAAAAGTCAACAAAAACAGTTATGAGACCAAATGACCCATTTGTTATTAACCAATATGTTTAAACTTAAACACAATAATATTCTGCAATTAAGTTAAATAAATTAAAAGTCCCTGAGAAAAAAATTCAAATAAATAAATGAAAACAAATTATAATATTAAAGTGCAAAGCAACAATTCAATGTCAGTTCAGTTTTTTTATCCATCAGCCTGATGCTGCTGAATGGTGGAACAACAAGGGTTGGAAAAACCTCACAATATTATCCAATTGTGAGAAATTAAGAGTCTATGGCTCCAATTTTCCTCCTGCAAACTTCATTTATTTTTAGCTAAAGTTATAGGGAATAATATATAAATTGGTATTTAATTCAATATATTTGAATTCAATATTTTAAACTTTACATAAAATAACCATGTTCAAACGCAGACTAGAAAGCCAACATGAATAATTTCCATCCTGTGTGGATTTGTAACCACAATAACAGCTGAAATTCAAAATGATTGCAGTTGACAAATAGGAGAAATGCAGAATGGTTCATTTTAAAAATAAAAATAAAAAATACATTGTTTGCTATTTTATGCTTCCAACTTACTGCCCAGATACGTGACGCCACTACAACAACTGAAAACTTGAAACACTGAGGTCAGACTTACATGTTTCATGATGGTTTATGAATTTATGGAATCGTTTTAAGAGGGATATTGGTTTCATCTCCAGTCTGTTTATTGAAACGCTTCTTCTTCTGAAAGACATTACAAATAGAACAGAGGTTAATCATCAATATGAACATCTGGACAGTGAAAACAGAATGCAATGGGCTTCACTGTGTCTGACTTACATATTCTTTAAAGAGGTAATAACAACCGATGACAGTGACAGCAACAACAACGGCAGCAGCAGCATAAGGAGCAACATCAGCAGCAGCAGCAGCAGCAAAGACGACGACAATAAAAACAACAGCAGCAAAATCAAGCCACCAATGTTGTTCAACTGAAAATAAAAAATGAGATTAAATAATTGCACATTTATAATTGAAAAACTATTTTTACAATGAGAGTGAGCTGCTGCATGATTTACCTTCGGACTTCATGTCAGTTCCGTTCTGTGACTTTGAAGTGCTGTTTTTTCCATCTGAGACTGTTTTAGAACATTTTGGGTCAGAACCATTTGTTATCCAAAAAAATAAATAAATACATAAAAATTTCAGCATATATTTTACTGGTTTTATAGATTTGCCTCTGAAATTTTAGATGCCACCATTTTTCCACCATCTTCTGAGTTTAATCAAAGCCAAACAGTAAAGATTCATAAAGAAACTGGGATATTATATCATAGCTATGCTACTGTATTTGTAGTAACTGATTTATCTTACCTCTTTTTGTAGATGATTCATTCTTCACGACTGTAAAGCAAAATTACACAAACCAGAAATCAACGTTAAAAGTACATAATTTTTCTCACAAAACAGAAACGCATAATTTTACTTGTGAACTTCATACGCTACCATTTTGAAAACATCTGTATTTCTTTTACATAATTTGTTTACATATGTTGTTAAACAAGCATTTAAACAAATCAACATTTTCTGAAACATATTTAGGATGTGATTTTAGATTATACTGGTTTAAAATATCAAGACAAGCACATATCTGTTGTATTTATATGATGTTAAAATCTTACCAACATTCTGGTTGATGCAACGTCGTTCAGAATTTACGATACAGCAGCTATAACTTCCACTATCTGTGTCCTTTAAATCTAAAATGTTGAGCAATGTGCTGAGCCCTCCGGCAGAAGGTGTGAGGCTAAATCTTTTTTCATCAGCGTTTTCCTGGATCTTTCCATTTTTTACAATTAAGATATCTTTACTGTCTTTACTCCACTCCAAAATATCATTGTCTTGTAAAGTATAGTCTTTGTCACAATCCAAAGTGATATTTGTCCCAATCACTGCTGTTTTATCCTCCTTGCTGGACTTGCTGGAGATTAAACTTCCTTTATTGTCTTGACCTGGGGGAGAAAATGGCATCAACAGACAGAGATGAGGAACATTAGAACTCATTCATTTTTCATAATTTTTTTTATTTGTAGAACAGATATTTCTACTAAATATAGTCATATTCTATATTCTATATTCTAAATGCTCAAATCCTAATTTATTACTTAGTTTTATCTTTACATGTATGCAAATGAAGGTAAGAAAATAAAAAACAACTTAAAAGTGTTGACTTGAATTGTGTTTATGACAGATAATACAACATTCTCTCTCAGTGAGGCTTATCTTTAGCACACAAAATATGTATAATGTGTCCAAATACTTTGACATTTCACTGCTTACAACCCTGAGCCAGTGTGAGATTTGCATGTCTCAGTCCACTTTCCTGGGGAAGCAGAGGGTGTGGTGCATAATAACACATCTATGTTAGCAACTCTACAGCAGAGGGCTATGCTGTGCAGAGCCACACAGAATGATGGTACTTTATCTAAAGTGCAGCACTTTTCACCAATAACCCACCAAATCATTCACATAAAATTCAAAATGTCTGTCTGTGCATTGATCAGTGTGATCTGGTCTCAGGTTTTCTGTGAGTCTGAACTTTGTTGTTAAATTGAGTTTCCCTGTGAGTTAAATCAACAAACCAATTAGAAAACACTTTGCTCTCAAGTCTGTGGACTTGAGAGCAAAGTGCAGGTGAGTTTGGGAAACTCATAACTTATCAACCTGCCAGGTTTGATTGGCTTTTTATTGGTTTTTAAATGTGAACCTTTTTATTCTTATGTTTGCAGTTTTGACAATTTCACAGCGAGATGTTCAAGTCATTTCCTGCCTGTCAGTGATTTAAAGTTACCTAATAATCTAATGGTCTTTGGGCCAACAATAGTAACAGCATTCAAACATTTGTACCATAAACGCTGGCAGTGAGAACATGTGATTCATTGACCTAGAGATAATATTTTTTCAATTTTCTTACTTCTTTTCGCTCTCAGCATGTATTTGAACTTCTCTCTTTTATTTACTTCAGCTCAGCTCACAGTTTTAACAAATTTAGTAGCTTTCTGTGTTTTTCTAAATCTGCTCCTAAGTCTTATCTTTTCAGGCCTGATACTGCCTCTAATGGCGTGGAGGTGGTAACACAACTAATCTAATTACATTACTAAATCAGAATAACAAAAGTCTTTATTATTTACTATTAATTTTGGTATTACCGGCAAAAGATAAATTATCTTATAAAACACCTTATTTTTTCATTTTCTTAAGGAAGTAGAGGAAATTAAATGAGCTAAACAAAACGTGAAAGTGATTCCAGTTTTATTTGATGGCCAATCTGTTGAAACTGGGGCTAATTTTACATTTCTTGTGTCGTTCCTGGACAGTCAGCTGAACTTTGCTGGAAACCCTGGCTATATTTTTAAGAAATGTTCTCAGAGACTTTATCTTTTAAGAAGATCTAGAGATCTTTGTGTTACCCAACTAGAGGTTGTTGAGTTAAAATGTTAAAACTTAACATTCTAACTTGAGTTTTAACTCAAATCAAAAAAACATTTTAAATTCAAGTTTTAACTTTCCATCTCCTCGGCTGATTGGTCACATGAATGATCTTTTAAGAAAACTTTCAGGTATAACAGCAGGTCAATGGTGATGAAACCAAAAACAGCAGAACATGAAAGACAGCAAGAAATATTTTAGCAGAGAGCATAAATCCTCTTTATTCATCAGTTTGGACCTCTGAGTTTATGAAGTAGTTACTGTTTTCCTCTGGTAACTAAGAATCTATCAGAAATCATTTATTGACAGAGCAATAATTATTCTTTACCAAACTAAATGATAACATTTACCTGTAGTGTGCTGAGTGTTTTTCTCTATTCACAAATTGTTTATAATGTGATTCTATGAATATGATTTATCATTTAGTCGAAGGAAAATTTCCATGTTTATAGGTGTTGATAGTTTCATGTTATTTTTTGCTATATATAAGACTAAAAGCAAAAGGTCTCTTAGAATGATACACATGGCACCGTAAAACAAAAATGAATTTTTGCTTGTATCTGTTTAACAACCTAAATTGTTGTTCTTCTGTACCTAATTTATTTGTTTGTTATTGACTTTTGCTCAATTAAATTTCTCATGTATACATTAAAAAAATTATATTTTTATTATAGTTGATCATGTTGTTGCTCATGTCTCCTTATTTGTTTTATTCCTCCTATAATTAATGGAGATATAAAGATATTATTTATAATGTTTAAAAGAATATATTTTAAACATTAAAGATATTAATGTTAATTAATATAGTTAATTAATATAGGAAATAGCGCCCCCTTCTCTTCGGGAGTGCAATGGTCCCATTTCCAAATATGGTATGAGAGTGACAGTGGTCCGCCCCGCCCCTTCCTGTTTGCTCCAGCAGGTGAGTTTGGAAGTTCCTAGAACTTTCTGGAAGGTAAATTTTGGAAAAGCTAAACGCTTGAACTCATCATTTGAAGTTTTCTTTTTAGTTAGATAAAAACGTTCCTCGACTTTCCCACTTATCTGGTTTTGTAATTCCAGTAAGAAAAATGCAGGCAACAACATCAAACTACAACAGATTGTTTGATTTTCAGATCGTCCAAAACGTGTTACGTCACCACTGATATACAGTAGAAAAAAGGAAATCAATAATTAGTTTTTAGATCAACATTCTAGTGGGAGATTTTGTTTTATGTCGAAATGACAATCACAGCAGCCAAAACTGATTCACTGACAGTTGGTTAAAAAATCTTTACTTACCGCCAACTGTCTCCAGAAAAGTCAAAAAAATCACCACGATTCCTCCTAAAACAACGTTTTTCTTCAAAAGCATCATCCCAACGTAATGCTAGTGGTTGTTTAGATACGTGTTTTGTTCGAGCCGGTCTGAAGTGGAAGACAGGTGTTCTCCAATGAGTACTGAATTCATTAGCCTCGCGAGAACTGAGACTCAGGTGGCGACAGAAGGAACAAACGTAGGTACCAATCACGTGTTGTACCAAGAACTGGTTGGGTGAGATTGGGCGCGCCCCCGCGAGGAAGCCCGTCGCCGCAGCACAAAAAGGAAGGTAATGACTTTTCAGAGGTAATGTTTTACTTAATTTTATTTTAAGATAAATAAATGCACAATCTGTGATTGTTTCTTGGTTTTTCCTGCAGTGTGAGTTGATTTCCTCTGTCCTTACTGTGCACAATAAGCACTGTATTCAGCAATCTCTTCATCTATAAATAAACTTTAACTGCAGACATTCAGCATTTCTTCTGCTGAGGAGCGCTGCCGTATCTGGCGCCATCTGGTGGCCAAGTTGCACCACACTTTTATCAGTCATGTCTTCCAAGTAAAAGAGTAAGAGAGCCGCACAGAATTAGAAAAGTCGGTGATTGTTGTGTCTTTTTAGGACCACAGGTCTCCTGCCATCTGCAGATAGAAAACAAATCAAACAAATACTCTGATTACTCACTTCATTCTCATCTGAAAACCACAGCAGGTTCTTTTATTTGAAAATGTTACTGACAGACAATGAAACACAAACAAATTATAAAATAAGACAGAGTCCTTTTATATTCAAATAATGAGTCAACTTTATTTAGATATTTGTCCAAAAATAAGTAGAGCTCACAATCTGAGACGACTATCGGCACACAATGATCCAGAATCTGATCTTTGCCCAATAAATGACTGATGATCAATGATGATGATAATCACAGTTTACAACATTTATCAGCAACATTTATTGCTTTGTCACATTTAGTCTGACAGCAATAAATGTAGTTAGTTTAGTTGAATAAAAATGCTCCTGTGCAGCGATGGCCTCCATTGCTGATCAGAAACAGGAAGGGGCAGCACCCAAACAAACTCCAACAAAACAACTAACAAGATGACAAAGTAGCTCCATAAAGACATTTCTTCTCAGCAGTGAAGATTTGATGACAATGATGGAAACTACAGAAACTGAAACTAAGATCCACATTTTGACCAACTGGACCTCAAATCACTGCTGACTCTCTGAGTTTAACGAACTCAGCAGACGATCCGTCAGGGCAGGAAAATGAGAAGTAAAGTCTAATCCCAGCATATAGAGGCTCAGTGAATCTGGTTTCGACTCTGTGGAGAAGAGTCATGGTTTTAGAGACGCTGTAGAAACACAGAATACCTGCTATATGGTCCAGGTAAACTCCCACTCTGGAGGAAATTGGACGTCCCACTGGAGTTTTAATGTTGTTGTGATAAAATGTGTAACTGTTTGTGTCACAATATAAAGACCAGGATTTGTCATCGGATCCTAATCTTTCTGTTCTGCTGATGTTCCTGTATGAAACGGCTACGGCTCCTCCGCCTCTCCACTCCACCTCCCAGTAACAACAACCAGTCAGACTCTCTCTGCTCAGAACCTGATAACACAAACCATCAAATCTCTCTGGATGATCAGGATAAAACTGTTCACGGTTCACAAATGTTACCTTTCTTTCCCCCTCTGATAATAAAAGGAATCTGTTTAAGGTGTTTGGAGCCAGAGTGATTTTATTTGAAAGTTTTAAGAATCCAGCTCTGGTGTTTGGCCCTGGTTCTGATTTTGATAATGAATCACCAACTTCAGTTAATCTTGGTGAAATGTTTCTCCGTGTGTCTCTCAGGACGTCCTGTGTTTTGTCTGTGACCTCCGACAAAACTGCTGTCACATCATCAAACTTTTCCTGGGGTTGAATCTCAGATGATAAAAGCTTCTTGTCTGCTGTGTTTGGATCCAGAGTGATTTCTTGAGAATAATTTAAGAATCCATCTCTGGTCTTTGGTTCTGATTCTGGTTCTGACAGTAGAACATCAACCTCAGTGAGTCTTGGTGAGATGTTTGTCCCTGTGTCTCTCAGGATGTCCTGTACGATGTCTCTGAGCTCTGACACAGCTGCTGTCATGTCCTCAAAGTGTCTCAGAGGACGAACAATGATGCTGGATGATCCTGTAGACTCACTGAGTGCTGGCAGTGAGGGGTAGTTGAGGAGAAACTGGGTGTGATCCTCTGTGTGTGAGAGCTGCTCCAGCTCAGCGTCTTTCCTCTTCAGCTCAGTGATCTCCTGCTGCAGCTTCTCCTGAACATCTTTGACTCGACTCACTTCAGTTTCCTGCTGGGATCTGATCTGCTGCTTCACATCAGAGCTTCTTTTCTGGAGGAGACCGATCAGCTCAGTGAAGATCTTCTCACTGTCCTCCACTGCTTTATCAGCAGAGACATTGATGGCCTCCACCTCCTGTTGAAGCAGCTTCACATCTTTCTCTTGGTCCTGGATTCTCTGATGGATTTGTTGTTGACTCTCCTGGAGCTTCTTCTGCTTCTCATCTCTTTCTGCTGCAGCTGGGACTGTTTCATGGCCTTTATGTTCATCCATAGTGCAGAGATAACAGATACACTTCTGATCAGTACGACAGAAGATCTTCATCACCTCATCATGACGAGAGCAGACTTTCTCCTGGAGGTTCTTAGAAGGATTCACCAGCTTGTGTTTCTTAAATGCAGGTAATTGGTAATGAGTCTGAAGATGATTCTCACAGTAAGTAATCAGACAAACCAGACAGGATTTGACAGCTTTCATCTTCCTCCCAGTGCAGACATCACAGGCCACATCTTCAGGTCCAGCATAGCAGTGATCAGCAGGAGCAGCTTGGAGTCCAGACTTCTTCAGATCCTCCACCAACTCAGCTAACATGAAGTTTTTCTCCAGGTTGGGCCTCAGTCTGAACTCTTTCCTGCACTGAGGGCAGCTGTAGTTTCTCCTCTGATGTTCTCCATCCCAGTGGTCTTTAATACAGTTCATACAGCAACTGTGTCCACAGGGAATAGTCACCGGATCCTTCAGTAGATCCCAGCAGATGGAACAGGAATATTTACCTGGATCAATCTTATTTCCTCCCAGATCCATTTCACTTCTCAATAACACTGAATGTCTCTAGTTCCTCTTTCTCCCATAGATGTGTCCCAAAAGAAGCCAAACATCAGGTTGTTACGGATCTTCCACAGTTTGTTTGATCAGCTCAGTTATTCTACCAATCCTGAGCTAATCAGATGAGTGAAACAGGATGAACCAGAAATGCAGTGTCAAGAAAACCCTAAATTATCCCACTTCCCCATGGTGGAGATTTTAGTTTAACAGGAACAATAAATAAAGTTGTCTTTAAAATGTATCACACAAGTGACATTTAAACCTAACAGTAGATTTAAACTTTAATAAAATAAATCTGTGTTGTTTCTGTCTCCTGCAAACTTAGCTTTAATTATACTTCATTTTTCTATCTAATCATAAGAAATCAGTCAGAGAGAGTCATGAGACAGGAAGAGCAGGTTTCCTGGAAAAAGAGGAAGTGAGTTTCCAGCTTGCAGAAATTATAAAAACAAGAAGATTATTCCTTGTTTCAATGCATGAAAGTTTTAAATAATGAAATCTAAATATTTTGAGTAATTGGATAAGATTTAAAGTCAAACACTTATATTAATATTGTTTACTTATCATAATACTTATATTTACAACTGTGGGAAACTTACAAGTAAAACAACTTTGGTATCAAATAATTACAATAATAGATTATTCTTGGTTTCTTTTCAGAACATGTATTATAACTAACATTATGATTATAATATGAATAATAAGTTCTGGTTATTATAAATTTGCAAATGAATGCTAAATCAGAGAAACTAAAAGGTTTATGAATGTGATTTTAACATTCAACTTGAAATGGTGTAAAACACATAACTGCTATTAAAGATCATTGATGATGTGTTGGAGGTAAATAGAAGGTGAACATTTAGGGGTAAAATGAGGACTAACAGGAAAGCAGAGACGACCAAGGCCTTATTTGGAGGTAAATTGTTGAACAACTTTGACTTTTCAAAGAAAAGGTTGTGCAGGCAACAGATGTAGGAGGACCATTGAGCAACCGCAGGACATTAGAACAGACATCAAGACATAATGTCTTTGAGACAAGATGGATATGAGGTCAAGCAATCAGCCAATGCAAATGCACTGAAAGCGGGTATAAACCCTATAAAAGGGGAGAGCAAAAGAGGAATCTTTGGTTGGATCCTCCAGGCGGCTTCGAGTCAAGACCGAGACGGACAAAGAACTCTGCAGCTGAAGAAGAGCCGCGGCCACAGAGCTCACTCACTGTGAGCAAGCTGGATTCAAAATTATACACAAATTAAGAAAAATATTACTTTTGTTCAATAAAATGTCAGCAAATGCTCATAACAGTTGTTAACTCCACATGGCAACATTATTTGACATGGGGCATTTATATTATTCTTCGGTATACTTGGGTATTTATTTGTGAAAGTAAATTTATTAAAAAAGTTCTGTGAGTTGGAGCACATCTCCAGGGCCAATTAGGAGAGAGGATTTACCCTGGACAGATCACCTCTCCGTTAAGGGCAACAACTAAGGACAGAAAGTAAAGAGAAAGGAAGACATATGGTAAAGAGGTGTTGATGAAACCCCAGACCCTAAACACCTGTAGTCATTTAAAACCTCTCACCCTGCTGTGGTGACCTGACTTCCCTCCACAGCTTGAAGATAACCAGTAAGTGCTGCCACAGTTGCCATAAAACAGCTAATTTCAATGTGCCTGCAGAGTTTAGAACCATCGATTTTCTGTTTTCTCAATTTTTGTGTTTTTTAAGCCCAACCTGATCATTTATAATCAGAAATTTGAATTTATATTTAAACATAAAATGGACTCAATTTGAGCAAGAATACAACACAAAACTGGTTTTGATATCAGATATTCACTTTCTCCTGCTTATGCAAGACAAGCAGAAACAAGCAGGAACTATTTTAGTGAAGCAGATCCGGTTTCCTGCTCTGGTTAACTCCTAAACGTTAACCAGTGAGGAATCCACCTCAGCCTGTCATGAGACATAATGTCTCCAACAGGCAGTCCCTCCTCCAAAACACCAGAAGACATCAAGAGGATATCTTTGCCAGATGCTTCTCAGCTAGTGGTTTTCCAACTCTGATTTCATTCTTACAGCTAAAACCCAAAATTTGTGACCATTGGTGATTGCTGGAGTGTCAGTCTGATTGGCTTTGGGTTTTGTTTTTCTTTCACAACAACATCCATGTACCAAATACTCATTAGTGCAGATGCTGCCCCAATTCATCCTGCTCAGTTTAAGGTCAACTTGTCAATATAAATTTAAGATGTTTAAACCAAGTCATCTTGTTAAAGGAGCTTTTCCTTGAAGTTTTCAACCTGCTCTGTGGATAAGATCATTTTCTATGGAAGAGCTAATCATCTCTTCCCATTTCATTTATCATTGTTTGGATCATTTCATTGTGTTCCTTTGCTGTACCATAACAAACCACCTCCAGGAGTCAGAAATAGTGTGTTTAAAAGTCCTGTTCTGAAATGACCTCCCTGCAGCCACGCTGAGCGTCACTCCACACCGATCCCAGTTCTTCCAGTATGACCGCATCACTCTGGCATGTGTGGCAAACTCCAGCGGCTGGACAGTGAAGAGGGCAGTTTCCAGCAGCGCTGACCAGGAATGTCAGCACGGCTGGGCCATTCCCAGCAACTCTTCCTGCATCATTGAGGACGCCTATCCAGAAGACTCTGGGGAGTACTGGTGTGAATCTCAGAGAGGAGAACGTAGCAACAAGGTCAACATCACCGTAACTGGTAACAGCCAATGGACATGGTGTCATTTACATTTTAAATACCTAGTTAGAGCTGAATTAGTGGTTGTCACAAAGCAAACATTTCCTTTTCATGGTGATTCATGTACATTTTAGCTAACAGTGTGATCCTGGAGAGCCCACTGCATCCTGTGGAGGAGGGAGAAAATGTTACTCTTCGTTGTTTCTACAAAGAAGATTATAATGACGAATCCACATCAAATTTCTCTGCTCGTTTCTATAAAGACGATGTTTTCATTGGGAGAAATATCCCAGGGGAGCTCACTCTGAAAGCAGAGGAAGGTTTCTACAAGTGTCAACATCCTTCTAAAGGAGAATCACAACACAGCTGGGTGGCAATGAAAGGTGAGGATGAACTCCGGCTTGTTTCAAACTTCAATAAATTACATTGACTTAAGTTTTCATTTAATTACATAAATATTGGGAATTTATTCTTTGTTCAGATTCTGTGGAGTTGTGGGGTTGAGAGCTTTTTCAAACTCCTATCAGGCCTAAAAATAATGGCCAAAAGAGAAAAATATCAGGCAGGATTTTTATTGATTTGAGCTGCTTTTAGTAAAAAGGGTGCTTTATAAATAAAATTGATTGATTGATTGATTGATTGATTGATTGATTGATTGATTGATTGATTGATTGATTGATTGATTGATTGATTGATTCAAACATGCTATCAAAGACTTCATGATGGTTTTAAAATATTATGAAACATCTCAAAGTATTCATATTTTGATATTTAAAGCCAAAAATGTTGTATTTTTGTTTTTTCTCAGCTAAAAATCAACCAACAGATTTTCCTCCCACTTCTTCTCCTGTCATATTTTGGCCCAGATTAATATGTGGTTCTGTGCTCTTCATCTTCTACTCCTTCATCCTCATCTTGTGTATACACACATACAGGAAATGGGCTCAAGGTGAGATCACCTGATGTGTTTATGTTTTTTTTTCAATCATGAATAACTTAAATTAATTTTTATATGTGTGGTGTTTTAACCATATTATGTGTTCTGTGGTTGATAAAAAGCTGTTTCAATTCAATATTTATGTAAATGTTGAAGAAAACTGTTAAAATGTATTTTCTTGAAAAATAAATGTGTTGTTAAAATCAAAAATCCTTATGGTGAAATATCTCTGAATGTCTGGTGAATTAATTGCACTTACTAAATACCTTTTTTGACTAAGAAATACATTTATGAACTATTATGACTCTGCAATTTGGACTCTGTATCAATTTGATTCGTTAAAGACCCGTCCCTTTGGGTTTTGTGTGAGGGAATGAATACAAACGTTCCTCAGGGCCACTTCTGTGAGATGCTGTGGCACCACTCATCTTCCAGAGGTTCTGGGAACCTTGTTCAAATCCATGGCATCACAAACTCTCTGAAATACCAGAATAATTTAGATCAAAATCTGATGGACGTGGTCAGAAAACTGAAAATGGATCCTGATTTGTTCTCTGACCAGAATAATGGTCCAAAACATGAGAACAGAAACCTTAACCCTAACCTGGATCCATGACAATCTTCCTGCTTCTTTAATCCTTTAAACATTTTTGAGTTTTTCTAATAAAAAAAAAACGTTCACAGTGACAATAGATATTCAGATATTTAGTTTTGTGAACTAGAGAGGGTTCTCTGGCACCATCTAGTGTTCAACTTGCAAGAGAATCCATGCTTCACATTTTTATTATTAACATAAATAAATGCACAGTCTTGATTGTTTCTGTGTTTTCCTGCAGCTCGAGTTGATGTTAATGGAGCAGATGCTGGAGATGATGGAGAAAAGAGAAGACAATGAGGAAGAAATGGAGAAATCGATGTAAACAATTAGTCCTCCTGTTTATGAGTTGGAACGTTATGCAGAGACCAAGTTATGCATCTGTGTATCCTATTTTTCAATCTATTGTCATTTCTTTGGAATCGCTCGATTTTCCTCTGTGCTTTGCTCTTCTCACACCTTTAAACATGGGGTGTGCTGTGGAGGCGCAGGGCTTTAACTAGACCATGGAGGCCTTAGTCCTCGATGTCGCGGGTTCAACTCCTGGCCCCAGCGACATTTGCCGCATGTCAATCCCTCTTTACTGTCAGCCTACTTTCAAAACATACGAGCCACTGGAGTCAACAAAAACCTCTGAGAAAAATTAACACGTACATCAGTCCTGCATCTTTCCTGGTAATATCTTTTGAAATTAATTTATTTAACTAGAAATATTTGTGGTGATTCTAAATCAGTAAAAGCAAAGAAAGGGGGTCATAGGTCATAAGAAGCAGATTTTCTCCTGTTTTTGTAGTTTTCAAGATTCCTACCAGTATTTGACCACTAGATGGCAGCAGAGTGCAGAACATCTCAGAGTGAATAAATTGTTTCCTTTAATTCTGCTGAATTGAACTTCAGGTGAACATTTTATCTCCTAAGTTGAAGAAAACAACTGATTGTGAGAAAGTGATGATTGGTTCATGGAGTCGACAGGTTTATTGATCCTCTGGGTTGATTAGAGACGTTGTTATCTTTAACTCTGTGATGGTTGGAGGTAAAAACATGAAGAACTTTTAAAACAAGAGCATTATTGGATATTTGATCTTTGACTCATGTTCTCATATTTGTGAAATCTAAGTTCTGATGGAATCATTTCCTTCCAGAGGAAAAATAAATTACAGTATTTTAAGAAAGTGCAACATTTTTTTTCTTATTTGATATTAAATATTTGTATTTACTTTATTTCAAATTAAAAGAATATAAACTATTATCAATGAGTAAATGTTAATAAATAGTGCAGTGCTGAATAAATGTATGGAAATTAAAAACTAGGGTTTTTTCTTCTATTTTTCTGCTGGAGGTTTTTCTTCTTCTTCTTCTTGTTTTGCAGTAAAATCAGAAGTTCTGTAGTTTAATGATGTGATCTGTGTTTGGGATCTTTCAGTAACCAGAGATCTCTGTAGTTTCACTTTGGTTGGTAAGTATCCTATCAGATTAGACTGATCTGGTGTTGATGCAAAGATTACATGGGGTCATAGGTCATAAAGGTTTATGCCTTACCACTACACACACTCAAACAGAAAACAAATTAGACCTGTTTTACATTTTTAGCTGGATTCTAGTTGAGTTGTTTCAATGTCAACGTTTCAACAGGAGTTCATGCAGCTGATGGAAAAATAATCTGGCCTTTCAGGTTTTACTGGGTTTATGTTTATCTCTGATCACCTGCAGGTTCAAACCTGCAGGACTCCTTTAGGCTCTTTAACAAGTAAACAAAGGCTCCTTTTATTCCACTAGAGTCAAACTGCAGTCAATTTGTAAATGCTGCAATAATTGATTCTGTTGAGGCATTTGGTTTATATATGACAGGAGGAATTGGCCAGCAAGGTATCCCACAATGCAATGAGCCACCAGCAGCAGCAACAAATTAAACTACATTTTTATTTGTCTCAAAATGTGTTTTAAGATGCTTAATGTGAAAATGTAGAGTCCAAAGTCTCATCTGTGGAGAAAGTTCATGAAGAACAAGGTTACTGAGACTAGAGCACTTTTTGGCTGGTTTATAGCATTTATATTTACATACATGAAACTACACCATGATTGAGTTTTATGCTCATTTTCATTATACTGCTCCATCTGAGGATGTAAACTTGCAAATTAATGTTTGTTTTATCAAAAAAAGGTGAAGAAACTATCACTGTTTAATATATTTTCTGTTAAAGTTTGAGCAGAAAAACAAAACAATAGCAAGAGCCAGGAACTGTTTAAATCAAGTATTTTATTTTTATTTACCCGGTAAGTTGTTTCTAGTTGAAGTTCTGATTAAGTAACTACAATATACTCACATTTATTAATTTAATGCATGATTTTACAGTGAATTTGCAAATTATGTTTACAACACTAAAAACGTTGATTAATTCACACAAACTTCAGTTTTGCTTGATCTACTTGACAAAATTAAGTTCAATTTACTTGGATTTTCTTTTTTATGTAACAATATAAGAACATAGAAAAGTATTGCCTGATAAACATAAACAACCTAATGCAACTATTTGCACAATTTATTTAATTAGACTGGAAAACTGGAGGAATCTGAGATTCTTCAAGGTTTGGACTAGGACACTGCAGACCTTTCAGCCTGTTGGTGAGAGCGCCATCTGTTGGAGCAGCAGCATCAGAGCAGGAACTAAAAAGGCTCAACAGTCTGATAAAAAGTTCTGGTTCTGTTCTGGGGACAACTGTGTGACCTCTGCAGATGGCAAAGTAAAGAAGGATTATTGATCAAATCAATAAAATGATGAACAATCCTGATCATCCTCTTTATGAGTCTGAAGGCAGAGATCTTCACATTTACTGTGTTACAGACAATCAGGAGGTTTTCCTGCCATCAGGATCCACAATGACTTCTGAAGAATCTGAATTCATTTCAGTTACAACATTTAATTTCCCTTCAGGATCAATGAATTATTTTTGAATCTGAACTGAACTTGTTCTGTAATTTGTTGTATGGATGTTTTGTTGTGCAGCTTGATGATGATCTGTGTCTCAGTGGATAAACTGAGGATTAAATGATAAATTAACATACAGACTATATGACTGTTATCTCACTTCCTTAACAATATTAAAGCTTTGAAGCTTCCTGGACTCTGAGCTGAATACCAGCTCCACCCACATGCACAACACAGAAAGAGAAACTATAATCTCACTTTGACTCGATCTCATCTCGGTCATTTAGAGGCTTCAGTGCTGATCAAACATTTATTAAAATACTTAAAAGAAAATCAGAAATCTCTTTACCAGACAGACAAAGGTTATGGGATTTTTTTCTCATCTTCTGGATGATCAGTTTGCTGCCCGTCGCAGATCAAGGTACGTGACGTTATTCTCCAGGAAGAGAAATTATCTTCCTTTTCTCCTGGGGGTTTACACAGCATAGCGGTTATATCTTAAAACAACACTAACATTTAATGAACTTGTATGTAATTAAAATACGCATCAAGACCCAGACTTAGTCTGATATCCAGGTAGTTTAGTTCAGTAGTTTAGTTCAGTTCAGTAAAAGTATTTACTGAACTTTTATAAATGCCTCTACTTTATAACAGGGTTCAACAGTAGCTGTTATGGGACAGGGTGTCTTAACATTTTCTTCTGGTAAAATATTGGGTTTTTTTATTAAACGAGTATTTTCTTCTTTTATTTTCTTGACATTTATTTAAAAAATGACTAAACATTAATTTGTAAAAAAAAAAAATTTGTAAAAAAAAATAAAAAAAATGTGAGCATTTATTTTGAAAGAACTCAATAATCCTGTATTTTCCCAACAGTTTTTACAACTGTAAGCATTTAAAGGATAATAGATGAGCAACAATGTATTTACTCCTGTGGGACAATAAAGAATATTGTTGTAAAAGAATTATGTTTTTCTATAATTGATTTATTAAATTATTCTGACGACTAACCAGATGAAAAAAATGACATATTCTGCAGATGTTTTATTTAAACACTTTGACTTATTTATAATATAAATATATTAATAAATCCCAATGAACAAACAATTCAAACTCCTTTAAACCAAACAGCATTTTATTGCATAAAGTCAATAATAACATTTATTTAGTGAATGTTAATCATCTGTAGCAAAAGTTCAATCTGCAGATAAAAATCTCTCCTAACATCAAGTGAAAAGTTCTGCTTATTTTAACATTTTAACAGTGCAGGGCTGTTTATTGGTGCTTAAGAGAAGATTTGTTGTTTTTTCTTTACAGCTAAATCTTGAGGAGTTTTCTGACCATATGAAGATGATCTCCTCCTCTTCCTCTCTCAGGATGAAGATGATGTCCAGCATCCTGCTGCTCCTCAACATACCGTACAACAGCTCATGTCTCTGTGGTCAGTCTCCATCTTGTCTTTGTGACAGAAAGCTCTCTAGATGGAGCTGAAAGACTCCCATGTTCCAGTTCTCAGTGTGTCTGCTCCTCTCTTTCCCTCTCTGTCTCCTCAGCAGCAACATTTGTAGTGAATGTGACACAGAGCAGCTATCAGGCAGAGGAGAAGCAGAGCATCACTCTGGAGTGGACCTTCACCACCAAGACTCAGGGAACCTGGAAATCTGTTCATCTACTGCAGCTTGGTGAGACCTGATGAAGAACTAGTTCTCTATCGGGTCCATAATGGAGTTGAGATTCCAGAGTCTCAGGATGATCAGTTTTCAGGACGAGTCCAGAGCAACAAAGACGTCCTCAGAGAAGGACGAATCAGACTCCATGTGTCCAGACTGAGGACTGAAGACTCTGGTCTGTATCAGTGTGGAGTGAGAACTGAAGATGGATTCAACTCTGCAGAATGTCGACTCAAAGTCTTTGGTGAGTTTCTGCTTCATTTCTGAACCTTAAAGTCTAAAAGTTGCAAAACTGAAATAAAACTGAGAAAATTAACGTGGATAAAATTAAAAATATCTGATTAATCGAATCATCCAACTAAACTAAATGAAACTATATTGGACATTTACAAAACTCATATTATAGGTTTAATGTCCTTTGGTTCTGTGTTTATTAATCTATTTATTAATATCTTTTGAATTCACACATCAGCAGTTTATATCAGCTGTTGCTCAATGATCCTCCTGATTTCACTTCTGCTGGTCTGGAAAATAGTTTAGATAAAACTCCTGATTCTGTTGGTTGTTCAGTGATAATTGAACACATTTGAGGCCCTGCTCCTTATATCCTTGATGCCTCTACTGCCCTTTTTTAGTTGATGTTAAGTTATTTTTATCTGTATGTCAGGAGGCCTGCTTGTTCCCCTCAGCAATAATATTTAGCTAAATATAATAATTTAGCAAACTAAATTAGTCTGGCTGCCCTCAGTCTAATAATGGCTCTCAGTTTCTGTCTCCATGAACCCGATGAATGAACACCGGCTCCATCAACATCAACAAGTTTAGTGAGTTTCCGATGTAGTAACATCATATCAACTAAAGAGGTTAAGACTGTTAAAGGGAGTCCTAACTATTTTCTCTAGTAGAATATCTATTTTTGTTATTTTTCTTAAGTTGAACATGAGTAATTTTACAGAGGTGAATAAAAAATGAGTAGACATACATTTGTAAACAAATGAAGAAACATTTATTTTGAAAAACCTCTATTAATGGGTTAGATTCATTGTTTCACAATTGTAAAGATCCTACAGGAGAATAAGTATGAATATTAGCTGAACAACAAACAGGAATATTAGTCTAGATTTATTTTTATCTTTGTTTATTCTTCCAGTTCCAGTGAAGGTTGTTGGTCATGATCCGATACATGCAAAGGTTGGAGACGACGTTATTCTGCCATGTCATCTGGAGCCTCCATATGATGTGTACAAACTTATAATCGAATGGAGATTCAAGAGTCAAATAATCCATGTACATCACAGTCGAGTTAATGACGATGAAACTCCAAACGACAGCCGAACCTTCATGTTCCCTGATGAGTTTGAAAAAGGCAACATTTCCCTCAAATTGACCAAAGTAACCAAGGAGGATGAAGGGAATTATACTTGCTTTGTTCCCAAACTGCAAAGTCAAGTCAAGAAGGGAAACGTTACTCTAATACTTGGTGAGTTTTATAAAATTAAGATCATTTAAGACAAACTACATAAATATATTAATGTCTATAACTCTTGATGTAATTATTCAACAGATGAAAATGGATCCCAAAGCAACTGGACTGATACTAGAGGTAAATATGTTTAACTAGGTAACCAGTGGTTACTGGCCCTCTGACTCAGTTTCAGATTTTCTTTGTTACCTGCAGCCATTGAGGCTCATTGGGTTGAATATTCATCTTCAGGCTTTTCCTGTTAAAACATGTTGATGTTCAGCTGGCAGATAAAACCTGAAGACCTGTGTGTGTGTGTGTGTGTGTGTGTGTGTGGTGTGTGTGTGTGTGTGTGTGTGTGTGTGGTGTGTGTGTGTGTGTGTGTGTGTGAGATAACATCTGAATGATGAGGTGACTGTTGATTTACAACTTTGATCTCATGAATAAAACAAAAATATGTAAAATTAAATTCAAAATATTCAAAAACAGAATGTTAAAAACACATTTTTCTTTTTTGACACAGGAACTAATCCTGGAGATACTGGTGTTGGTGGAATTATTGGTGCTTTTGTTGGTGGTGGTGTTCTAGGAACACTCATCACATACTGTGTTCTACGTTGCAGCACAGATGAACAAGGTAAGTCAGTCATTGTCTTTTTAAGTCATGCAGGATTTTGTTAAATTAATGATTATCTCCATACATGCATATTTCCAATTGATAGAAAATATAATTTTTAATAGTTTGCAAAAACTGATCTGAATCTGAAGAAAAGTAAATCTCTTGATAAACATGTTTGAGAAAAGTTATGCAGCTTTCATATATTTATCAATATCTATTGATGTTTGACGAGAACAAAAGGAAAATTAGAAACTAAACCATTATTAGTTTCCTTTTTTCTCTTTAGGTCTTTGTTATTTATTGTAGCTTTTCTGCCTGATCAGGTTGATGAAACATTTTTACCAGTTAAAAACTGAAAAGGAGAATTAAATATTGTCGCCTCATTTATATTGTGTGTTAAGATAAATATTCACTGTTTACAGTTTTTCCATGCTGCTGCAAAAACTCTCAACATGAACCAGTGAGAAATGATGAAGGTATGGAAATGGAACCATTCCAGATTAATAACTTATGTTAATTATTTCCTGTTTTATTTTCCTGCTCAGTGATAAACTAAGCAGTTACTTCATATAGATGTATGAATGTGTTTGTGTTGCTGCAGTCACTGAACATCACAGCTGAGCATCAAACCAGGAAGCTGAACTTCCTTGTTAGTGACTGAATGTGACAGACTAGATATTAGATCATTGATGTAGCAGCAATGAACTGGTGACCTGACTGGGTTCATCATGGCTCACCAGTATTCCCACTGACCTGAACAGGATATGAAGGTTTAGACCAGAGGGTCCAACCTGTGGATCCAGACGCACTAAAGAGAAACAGCCAGAAAACATTCATTCATAAAATGCTACAAATTAAACTATTATTTACTGCACATAACTCAGATTTTCTCTTCTTTGTTGTGTTTCCTTCAACAGAGAAGCTGATAGCTAATAAATCATGTTTAAGATTATAATTAGAGCTTAATGAGAGACATTTCTTCTGCCTTCATTAAAGTTATATTCAAAAGGTTCTTTTAATCTGACATCTGAATATACATTAAATATTCAGTTTAATATGAACATGTTTACATTTTATTGTAATATGCTTTGGTTTTTGGATTGTTTTATTTTTGCCAAAAATCTGGAAACAAATTAGAGACAAATAATTTCAGAAAAAGTCAAAACTTTAATGCTTTATTTTATTTTTTGCTGATTGATAATAATTTTATTTAGAAAAACTAAAATGTCAGTTTGAGAAAAACACAATTCTGTTTTTCTTCAAGTCATCTTAATAATAATGTAACTTTGGGATATCAAACAATCAGATGATGTTATTAATAAAATGTTTTGTGTTTCATAGATCGCAGAGAAAATGTCGACTCAGGAAATGAAGCTGAAGTAGAAATACCTTTACAGGATCAGAACAAAACCAAAGAGTCTGAATCTTCCACCTGATCTAAAGTCTCTTCAACCATTTGGTATGAAAACTGTTACAAGAATAGAAATGTGGATAATAATATAAGAAACTGAATGCATTAAACCCAGAAGGAAGTTATTCATATTAATAATCTTTATTTGAGATTTAATAAATTAAACAAGAATCCTGTAAGTTAAAGATCATCTCTAGTCCAAAGATGTTTCTGTAGTTTAGTTTCTTACTCAGGTTTTTATAAATTATTTATATTGAAAAGTTTTTTCATTCATGCAAAAGTTGACAGACTTGATCTCCAGCTTGTTCCTTCAAAAGGTTTTAATTTAATTTCTGTCAGTGAATCTTATTTTTTATTTTATTATTTTCTGTATTTTATTATAATTTTAGTTTCTTGCTGTCCAGTTTTTCATTTTATGAATCAGCAGTGAATTCATTCGTTCATCTTTTCTTCCATCTCCAGTAGTTCTGTATATTTATTATTCCCTCCTTAAAACTGAAACATTCACATAGGAACAAATAACCTGAATATTTCTATGTACATCATCATACAGTGAATGTAAAAAATAACATTTTGATGCTATATTTCTTTATAAGCGCATTATGTAAGATTGTTATTAAAATATCTTCTCAGGATCATTTATTAACATAAAATAGAAAAATTAGAAATTGATCAATTACTTTATAAATAGGATCATAAACACAACAGATATTATTCTAACTTTAAGTCAGTTTAGTGACTTTTCATTACAGACACTAAGCTTGAGGAAGGTAGAGAAGTTTTGTTGATGAATATGAATTATGATCTGGTAAGAATAAAATCTGTGTTTATAATTAGCCACATGGTGGCGCTGAGTCAGCATGGGGGACATAAAGAAATGTCTCTTCCACCAACACTGAACCCAGTGGAGACTTGGAGCTTCTTCAGCCTGGTGAATCAATGAATCACTTGTTCATTTGAGTCAGGAAAACGGAAGCAGGGAGAAAATGCAGGACAAGGAGTTTTAAAGTCCCAGGCTGAGAAAACCTGATTTATGATGAAGTGAATCAGAGTCACTGAACTTTATCTAACTCTGGGCCAAAGTTCTGTTCATATTGAGAAAGATCCATTTGCACTGACATTTATATTATCAAACCAATGAGACTTTTTATAATTCATTGAACTGAGTCTTAATATGGCTGTTTAATGTAGGAATAAATGGCTGCTGCAAAGTTATAGACTGTGAATAAAACTGAGCTCTTTATACTTTATACTAAATACTAAATATCTTAGTTTAAGAAACATGTTTTGTTCATTTGTTGACTTTTGTAAATAATATATATCATATCTAACAGAATCTGATATTATTTACATTTTGTCTGGTGAACTTTTACTGTGTGACTCAAAGTAAAACTCTAGAGCGCCATCTAGTGGTGAAGTCAGAATATCCATCCATTTTCTAACACCTTGTCCCTCGTGGGGTCAGGAGGTCCTGGTGTCCATCTCCACCAGACATTTCAGGTGAGAGACGGGGTCACCTGGAAAGGTCACCTGGAAAGGTCAGCAGTCTGTTGCAGGAGTCAGAATATTATTCTGATCAATCATAATCTTTATTGGGGATAATATTGATCCCTCCTTGATGGATAATGTGAAACATGACTGTCCTCAGAATCAGATCTGTTCATCTTCTAGTTGGAAGATAAACGGCTGTTGTCACATTAAATATGTAAAAAGTCAAACTTTATGCATAAAGTTATTATGATTATTAAACTCTAATCACTTCCATCTCTTATTTTAACAGTTTGAACTCTTAATGCAGGGCATATATCACGTGTTTATACATTTTTATGTTGTTTATTTCTGTGTAGGTTTTACCAGCAAACAGTGAAACTGTCTTTGAATCATGAAATCAGCAAATTAAATTGTGTTGATGAGCAGAAAATTAATGTTAATTTTAGATGATTTTTGTTTTGAACTCCTGGTGACAGAAAAGTTAAATGTAAATGAGAACAGATTTTTATTATCAGAAACAGAAAAAAAGCAAACACATCCTAAACTGTAAAATTTTCTGCTACCTTGGACTTTCTGACATTTAACTGATTCTTAAAAGAAAATTAATGAAATGGTTCACAGCATCTAGTGGATACTGATCAAGATGATTACTGGGATTTTTAGGTAGAATCTCAAAGGGAGATTTGCAGCTTCTTCATATTACTGAAAAGATGAAGAATTAGTTTAAGTACTAATGAGTTTGTATGGAGGAACGAAACAGACTGTGAGTTGATTGAGCAAACTGACTGGCAGCCATTTTTACATTACTAGAAAACATGATCCTCTAAACCAAAGAAATTAGATAAATTAGTTTTTTTGTGTATTTTCCATTCTTTGTTTATCGTATCAATAAATGTTTTTTAATGTTTAATGTGAACTGATGTTAAGCTTTGACTCTTGTCAATAAAAACCTTTTAAAACATTGTTGTATTTTGTTTTATTCAAGCCAAGTTCAATATGTGGCCTGAGATGTTTTGACTGTACAAAAAGCAAATTAGTTTAATATGGAGGAGGAAGCAGAGCGGCCATTTTGTCAAAGCCAACCAGTTTATCCTGTTATTAGCAGCCAGTCAAAGGAAAAACAAACCAAAACATGAAGCCATTAATGAGTTATATTAAAAGTAAAAGTTATAGGTAGTTATGAGTTACAACAACATTTAAGTTGGGATCAATAAATATTATGTTGAGTCAAATAAATTAACAATTCACCAAAATTAAGACACATTTTTTAATGTTAAATATTACATACATGTGGTTCATATACATGTAACATACATGTATCTACTAACATGTCTGGCAATATTGCTAGATATCAGTATGTAGTAACATTAGATACTCGATCTAATGTTATTCCCTCCTTGTCACTAGACTTTTTAATATTAACTGTTTAAAAGTCTAATGAATGTCAAAAAGTCTAATAACATTTCTTAGGAACAGCTTATGTGTGTGCATATATCCTGGAATAAATATTTTTACAATAACAGTTGAAATTCAAAATGATTGCAGTTGACAAATAGGAGAAATGCAGAATGATTCATTTTAAAAATAAAAATAAAAAATGTATTGCTTGCTATTTTATGCTTCCAACTTACTGCCCAGATACGTGACGCCACTACAACTGAAAACTTGAAACACTGAGGTCAGACTTACATGTTTATGTTTCATGATGGTTTATGAATTTATGGAATCGTTTTAAGAGGGATATTGGTTTCATCTCCAGCAGAGATCTGCCCAGTCTGTTTAGTGAAACGCTTCTTCTTCTGAAAGACATTACAAATAGAACAGAGGTTAATCATCAATCTGAACATCTGGACGGTGAAAACAGAATGCAATGGGCTTCACTGCTGTCTGACTTACATATTCTTTAAAGAGGTAATAACAACCGATTCCCACGAGAACAACAGCAAGAGCAGCAGCAGCAGCAGCAAAGACGACGACAACAAAAACGACAGCGGCAAAATCTAGCCACCGATGCTATAGCTGCTCCCCAGTACTTGAATTAAAAAACAGCCGGTCTCGACAGGTAATATTGGCTTTATTTCTCCTTTGATGATTTTGCTGGATCATCATCAGGTCA